ATCTCCTGGGGCGTAGGAGTGGGCACTGGAGGCGCGTCGGAGCTGGGAGGCCTTTCGGCGCTGGCCCGCGCACGTCGGCACGGCTCAGCCTTCATCCCCCCGATTCCTGTATCTCTTGTCGTCGTCGCCCTCCTCCTCCTCCTCCTCCTCCTGCTGCTGCTGTTGCTGCCTCCTCCTCCTCCTCGTCCTCCTCCTCCTCCGTCGCCGCCTCCATCGCCTCTTCTCCTCCCCATGACCCCTCAGACCTTCCAACGACGACGACGACGACGACGACGACGACGACGACGACGACGACGACGACGACGACGCCGCCGCCGCCGCCGCCGCCGTCACCGCCGCCGCCGCTGCCGCCGCCGACGACGACGACGAGGACTGAACGGATCCCTGGCCGATAGCGCCTGGCCTGTGGACGCGGTGGCAGTCGCTGTCCGCGACGATGATGCTGCCGTCGCGCGCAACTGCCACGCCGATGGTGCCGCCGAAGCTGACGGTGCTCCTGCGGGCTGGCATGCAGGCCTGAGAGGGCGAAATCTTGGGGTGGCCGCCGCGAAAGAAAAAGGGCCCCGAGGGAAACGGGCGGCCCTGAGGTTTTTCTCAGTTGTCGGGCTCCTGGCCTGGGCCCTGGGGCCGTCATGAGACGACTCAGGATGAAGAACTCGTCCTGGGTCGGCGACTCCGAAGAGTGAGGTTTGCAAAGGGTGTGGTCTGCAATCGGCTCTCTGGGGGCACCCTGGGGGGCCGGCGACCGCCGCGCCCCAAAGAGGCCCGACGAAGGCAACGTGGTGCGCACCCAAACCCCAACGACCTAGATGACTTACGAGAGTTGGTCGGCTATACGCAAGAGGGACCCTGGGTAAGAGTGACCTTTGGTGCGCGACTTTTAGGGGGCCGCGGGGGGACCAAACCTGGGCGCGCAAGCAGCTGCTACTGCTTCGTTTCAGCCATCTGGAGCTGAGACCCATCTGTGCCCGCACCAAAGGTCACTCCAGCGAAAGGTCACTCTTACTTACGTCTAGTCGACATGGCACAACGACCGCGAACCGGACCGAAGACCGAGAACCGGTCCTCGAAACGAACCAGCCGAACCAAACTGACATCGACCCGAACTGGCAGAACCGAACCGGACCGGCCAATCGTTGTGGATGCCATGACAATGGCCACTCTAACAATCCTATCGTTAAATTAAAGATGTGTTAAAATGTGTGCAACATGTTCTAAAACTGTTTCAAGCATGTTTCTTTACATATTTAAAGCATGTTTGAATCATCTTTTAGACGTCTGGAAATTATTTGGCAGCATGCTCCCTCTCCACTGCCACAAGCCAATCGAACTGGCCGAACCGGACTGGCCCAGCGAACCGAACTGGCCGAACCAGACCAGACGCGACCCTGGCGGCCCGAGTCTGGGACCAAAAGACCCCAGACCTGCAGACCCCCAGGACCTTCCAGGACCCCAGGACCACCCAGCACCCCCGAACGAGGACCCCAGGACCCCCAGGACCTCCCGGGACACCCCAGGGAGCCAGACCCGGGCCCCCCCCGGGGGGATCCAGACCGGGGGCTCTGGACCGGGGGAGGTCCAGACCGGGAAGGGGTCTGGACCAGGGGGGGTGCATGCGGGTCCAGACCAGAGGGGGTCCCGACCAGGGGGCGGGGCCGGGAGTCCGGATCGAGGTGGAACCAAGGCCCGGGGGGGGCGGCCCAGAACTCCAGTGGTCAGGACCCCCGGGGGTCCGGCCGGACCCTGCGAGGGGGGCTCCAGACCGGGGCCTGGGGAGGGTCCGGACCGCGGGGCCCGGACCCTCCTGCCTCCTCCTCCTCCTCCTCCTCGTCTTCCTCCTCCTCCTCCTCCTCCTCCTCCTGCTCCTCCTCCTCCTCCTGCTCCTCCTCCTCCTCCTCCTCCGCCTCCCTCCTCTCCTCCTCCTCCTCCTCCTCGTCCTCATTCTCCTCCGCCTCCTCCGCTCCTCCCCATCCTTCCTTCCTCCTCCTCCTCCTCCTCCTCCTCCTCCTCCTCCTCCTCCTCCTCCTCCTCCTCCTCCTCTTCATTCTCTTCGTCCCGCTGCAAGTGCCGACCGAATCGGAAATCGCGTCGCACCGTCGTGTGCCTTGCACTGGAACGGCATCCAAATCGAATCGTAATCGAGTCGCGGCGGGGGGTTGGCTTCCCGCATGGGATGTTATGGGATGTTTCGGGCGCTTTTCAGATACATCGGTCGAACCGAACCGGCCGAACGGGAAACCCTAGCTCGGCCGAACCGACCCGGCCGAACCTGGCCGAACGGCGGAACTGGGCGGCCGAACTGGACTGGCCGAACCGGACTGGCCACTTGGCTCGAACCGGACCGGCTGGACCGAACCGGACGGTGATCTGAACCCGACCGGCCGAACCGACCCGAAGGAGCGCGGAACCGGACCGAAGTGAACCGAACCGGGGCCGGCGGCTTACGCGGGCCGCCAGCCCGGCACGCTACTTCGGAGACGAGGGCGCTTACGCGCGACCTTACGCGAGCAGCTTGCGCGCCAGTGTCGGCGCAGATGACCCCCTTTTACCCAGTCGCAACCACACCCCGACTCGGGATGAACGGCTGGCCCTGGGGAAGGCCCCTGGGTCCGGTCCAGAACCCCGTTCCCTCAAGACCCGCTTGCCTGATGATGGGTGAGGGCGGCGGGGGGCCGCGCGGTCGGCTGAGAGAGAATGTGAAGCCGGGCGAAGTGGAGGGTGAGGAGGAGGGGGAGGAGGGGGAGGAGGGGGGAGGGGGAGGAGGGGGAGAGAAAGAGGAGGAGGAGGAGGAGGAGGAGGAGGAGGAGGAGGAGGGAGGAGGAGGAGGGAGGAGGAAGAGGAGGAGGAGGAGGAGGAGGAGGAGGGGGAGAGGGAGGAGGAGGGGGAGAGGGTGCTGGAAGTGACGCAAGGGGGGGGGAGACTCACTACCCACACAGGGGTGATCAGAGGGGGGTGTGAAGAGGAAAGATAGTAACTGGGGGGCGCGATCCACCGTCGCTGGGCAGAACAGTTTCTGTAAGGGGGGTTCAGAGACCAAAGGGGGCCCCACCACTCACCCCCGTGAGACAAATCGCAATGGAGGGGTCAGAAGCAGGGCCCCCCCCGCCAGCCCCTCTAACCCTCTCCCCCTGCCGCTTCCCCAAGCACAGGAACTCCCGACCCCCACTCTCCCTAGAAAATTACTCGGAGGGGGGTCAAGGACACCCCCCCGCCGAAAAATGCAGTGAGGTTCTAGTGTTGGTTCTCGTAGAAGTTGGCATTACTCGATAATTCGAATAATGCCAGAACCAGACTCAGACCAGAGTCACAGTTACGATGCGCGTTATTCAATAATTGTACACTACTGCGACTCAAAATATTACTAGATTGATACTAATGCCCGCCAACCATAACTGTGACCATAACCAATCTTGGTTGTGGTCCTGGTAATTACACACTATTCGAATACATTCAGGAGAATGCGACCAAAGCAGAACCGTGACCAGGACCGGTCCTGGTCACAATTGTGGTTCGGGTTGCATTAATATCTTAAGAATATTCTTAATGCACATCGACCAGAACCAGAACCGTGACCAAGACCAGTTTAATATTATTCTAATATTTTTAATGCCACTCGACCGGAACGAGAACCGTGACACGGACCACAAGGCGAGACGCAGCTGCTGGAAAGCATCCCGAGGCTGGAACACCGCTGGGAACCGACGAAAACGCCAGAAAAACTCAAAGCCTCGAACCTCGAGCCCCCCTGAGCCTACCACCCCCCCCAACGTTGCCCCTGGACACCCCCTCGTGAGTGCGGCACCCCGCGCTGGCGTGTCCCGCGCCCATCCAGCAGCGTGGACCAGCCGTCTGTGGTGAGGGTCGTGACGACGCCCTCCGGCGTCACCTGCGGACGTGGGGGCACGGCGCGGGGAGGCTCGGCTCCTCCTCCTCCTCCTCCTCCTCCTCCTCCTCCTCCTCATCCTGCTCGTCCTCCTCCTCCGCCCCGTCCTTGCTCCTCCTCCTCCTCCTCCCCCTCCTCCTCCTCCTCCTCCTCCTCCTCCTCAGATGATGCCGCCGCGATTTTGGGCCTGGCCCTGCTCGCGGGTATAACCCGTCGCCTTCGGTCTCGAGCTGGCCGTGATGGGCGGCATGCGCTGCCCTGGGTCGTAAGCCCGTCGCCCAAAGTTTTGTCGATTTGGGGCTGTGCTACCTCTGCTTCTCTCGCCGCTGCCGCCCGTCCCGTCACCGAACTCGGCGCGCCCTCTTATCTGGGTCGATCCTCCTCCTGCTCCTCCTCCTCCTCATCATCATCACTCACTATCTCCATCACCATCACCATCACCATCACCATCATCAGCATCATCATCATCATCATCATCATCATCATCATCATCATCATCATCATCATCATCACCACCATCATCGTCATCATCATCATCAGCATCAGCATCAGCATCAGCATCAGCATCAGCATCAGCATCAGCATCAGCATCAGCATCAGCATCGTCATCGTCATCGTCATCGTCATCCTCATCGTCATCGTCATCGTCATCATCACTCACTATCTCCATCACCATCACCATCACCATCACCATCACCAGCATCATCATCATCATCATCATCATCATCATCATCATCATCATCATCATCATCATCATCATCACCACCATCATCGTCATCATCATCATCATCATCATCATCAGCCATCATCAGCATCAGCATCAGCATCACCATCAGCATCAGCATCAGCATCAGCATCAGCATCAGCATCAGCATCGTCATCGTCATCGTCATCTCATCGTCATCGTCATCGTCATCGTCATCGTCATCTCATCATCATCATCATCATCATCATCATCATCATCATCATCATCAATCATCATCATCATCATGATCATGATCATGATCATCAGCGCGCGCGCCGGATCGCACAAAGCCTGAACCCAAAAGCTACGGAAAGATCGCACTTGGGGCCTCACCTCCTGAGCACATTCATACTCCCCGGATCTCGATCCGTCGACGTTACACACAAATGGAACTATTCCCCACATTTTCCCATACTTTCTGGGTTTTTCGCTTCCCCCCCACTTCCCATGTTTTCCCATATTTTCCTGGGGGTCGACGATTAATTGTGTCTGTGTGTTTTTTCCCGCCTGAAAGGAGTGGCCAAAGAGAGCGGGAAGGCGCCACCAAAGGACCCCGGAAGGAAAGCCGGTGGAAAACTACGCTGGACCCAAGTTGCCCGAGGAGGCTTCTCCTGGACTTCTGGGGGCACCGAAGACGTCCCCAGGAAGGGCCTGGACCGCCACGAGGCTCCCCCGACGACTCCAAAAGCTTCGAAGAATGGCCCCAAGGACATACAAAAAGAGATTCCGAGAAGCACCCGCGAAGCGCGGTCTGAAGCCTGCACCCGCGATCGACGCGATCGACGGTGACGACGTGCGACGACGGCTAACAGGGTCAACTCAAAACACGACCCCCATACCTCTGTGGGTCCACTACGGCAGCTTCTTCGGCCACGCTGGAAGCCATATGGTAATCCTGGAGCGTTTTTTGGCGTCTTCGGGGCCGCCAAAGAATTCGGCGGGGCTTCCCTTGGGCGGCGGACCCGGGATAAGAAGGTGCCGTGCCGAATCGAAGAGGCGGGCGCCAAGCAGCTTCGCCGTGCTCCAGAGGGACGTGTCCGGAGCACGATCAAGTTGAGAACACCCCAGGCGGGGTCGGAGCGACGTTCCGTGCAGTGGGTGTGCGGGGCCGGTCTGCGTGCTCCGCAGAGACGCTCCCGGAGAGCGCGCCATCGGGGGCGGGCGGGCCTCGTGGAGTCTCCTGGGTCCCTGCTGGGGGCGTCTCGCGCCCTCTCGAGGGACGCCTCTCATCTGGGGCGCCCGAGGCTCTCTTGAGGGACGCCTCTGGGGCACCCGGGAGACTTTGGGGGCCACGCGGGGGCACACACCTCGAGGCCGCCGGGGATGCCTCTGAGGCCGCCCTGGGGGCGTCTTCCTCCTCCTCCTCCTCCTCCTCCTCCTCCTCCTCCTCCCCTCTCCCCTCCCCCTCCCCCTCCTCCTCTCCCCTCCCCCTCCTCCTCCTCCTCCTCCTCCTCCTCCTCCCCCTCCCCCTCCCCCTCCCCTCCCCCTCCCCCTCCCCCTCCTCCTCTCCCTCCTCCTCCTCTCCCCTGCTCCTCCTCCTCCTCCTCCTCCTCCTCCTCCTCCTCCTCCTCCTCCTCCTCCTCCTCCTCCTCCTCCTCCTTCCTCCTCCTCCTCCTCCTCCTCCTCCTCCTCCTCCTCCTCCTTCTCCTCCTCCCCCCCCCGCCTCCTCCCGGGAGCCTGTGGGGGGCGCCTGAAGGCATCTCGGGGCCGCCCGCGGGGGGGGCCCTGGGAGACTCTGGGGGCCACGGGGGGGGGGGGCATCTGGGAGACTCTTGGGGCCGTGTCGGGACACAGCGGTCGAGGCCGTCTTGGGGCGCCTCGAAGGCCGCCTTGGGGGTGGCTTGGGGCGTCGTGGGTCATCTTGGCGCTCTTTTGCAGGCCTCTTGGGCCGATTTGGAGCCGACCTGGGTACGTGCTGCAGAGAGACTTTTCCAGAGCACGTAGGAACGGAGACTGGGAGCCTGTCGGGGGCGTCTTACCTTCTGGGGCTAGGTGTGGGCACATCGCTCGAAGCCGTCTCAGAGGCCTCCGAGGTCGCCTTGGGTGCGTCTTGGGGCGTCGTGGCGGCCTTCGGGGTTCCCTTGGCGCTCTCTTGGCGGCATATCGGGGCATCGATGGTGGACGCCCACTGAGGCCGTCCTGGGGATGTTCTGGGCTGCCTTGGGGGACTCTGGGTGGTGATGTTTCGGGGCCCGCTTTGGGTTCACCTGGGGGCCTCGCGGGGCCGCCCTGTCCTGTGCCGTCGACGTCTCCTGGGCAGTCTTAGTGCGCTCTTGGGCTGTCTTTGGACCCTCTTCGGCCGTCTTGGGGCTCGGAGCGAGTCCGTCGTAGGCCGTGGGAAGCCCGAGCAGGCGAGAATCCAAACAACGCCTTCAAAAACCGGTGGAAAATCTGTGTTTTGGGCTCCCGGAGGCTCTCTCGGTGGTCCTCTTGAGGGCCTCTTGGGCCGTCTTGGGGCCCTGTTGGACCGTCCCGAAGCCTTCTGAAGCCATCTTGAGACGCTCTCGGGCGGTCAAGCAGGGGGCCACATGCGAACCCTGCCCCTACCCTACCCCCCACGATTTCTGAGGGGGAGGGCGGGGTTCATTTTAGTTGGGGAGCTCCCGAGCGAATTGAACCCCACTCTCCCCCTGAGAAATCGTGGGGGATAGGGGTATAGGGGAACAAGAAGTGGCATAAACACAAAAACTCGGAGGTCCGCGCGGATTTCTCGGATCGGCGCTGAGGCCCCCCGGCGGCACCTCCGGCGCCGCCCCTGGCGCGCTCCGCGCCCCAGGGAGGGGGGTCCAGCGCCGATCCGAGAAATCCGCGCGGACCTCCGATTTGCTTTATGTTTATGCCACTTTTTGTTCCCCTAGCGTAGGGTTCGCGT